CACTGTGAAGGAGGAGCTGGTAAAAACAGCCTTGTTGTTTAGCATTATAGCATTCCTGTTTAACAGGTTACTGTCTTCTGTCTTCTACACAACAGAGATGCAAATGACAGCAACCAAAACAGGCAAGGATTAGAGGATTGGATGTCAAGTTAGGTTCTTACGGAAAGGAAAAATGAACTTGACCCTTGAGAACAGATTTAAAGTAATTATGTGTAATGACAGTATGAAGAAACTCCAAGAAATGGCTCAGGTTGCTCTTTAGCATGTCCAGGCAAAGCGAGTTTAGGCAGCAACAACCAACATAATAACGCGAGCGAGACACTACAAGGCAATGACTTGTGAGGGTTACCAAGAGAAACATATGTGTTTAGGGAACTTCCAGATTAATCAATGGCAGTTGCTTCCTCTTTTATAGTCACTGACTGGGGGACTTCTGGATTCAGAATTATTTTTTCCTAATGTCTATTCAGAGATAATTCAGACATCCTAAGAAGCTTTTGTTTTAGTTGGTGATCTGAATCCTGTAACAGATGGAAAATGAGAGCTCACAACTTTTCTAACTATAATCTATGCCTGGGCAGAACCGCTGTCACAAAGGGTTTTAGGAAGTTTTGAAACATCTTTTTCACAGTTTCAAGTCCTACTGGGACTCTTTCCGGGAACCAAGTTGGTTTTTCTGAGGCAATTATTACTCTTCTGTATATGCCAGAGTACAGATTGACTAGCTGGGTAGAAATGTACCTCAGAAAAAGGTTGAGAGGAAACACAGGTGGCTGACGATGTTGTAAAACGGGAGAGCACATTTGGAAAAACACAGAGCACAACCACCCTACTTCCCACATTGTTAGCCCACCAAAATCACATCAGATAAAGCACTCTGTCTGATGTATGGGTTCACCACTGCTATCAAACAATAACCTTGAAACAACATTGTTAGAATATACGTCTCCCTGGTGTACCGTAAGGAGTTTGATAGTGGTGGCATTTAAAGAGTTCGCAGTTAAAATTAGTTTGAAAACGGTCCCTAGGATGCCGTTTTTAAAAGTGGCAGGTAGCAACAAACGCTTGTGTGTGTTTGCCTGCCGCTGGGAGGCAGTTAGACTGCAGACCGGTTACAAGTCTGTGTCCCCTCTGACCTACGCCTAAAATGCAGTGAGAAGTATTCTGCTGCATTTTATAAGATAGATACAACATTAGTACGACACTTGAAACTAAAATAGATTCTTTTCATTTTACCTGTCCAACTGAAAAGCTCATGTTGAAACAACCTGGCTTATTTCCAAATTAGACTGAAACGAATGGAATGAATTGTATCTAGCAAATTAAAGAGGTAAAGGAGAATGGGACTAAAACTTTGAAATGATTTAATAGTTACAAAAAAAAACATACAATGAAAATTAGTACTTTAAATGTCTAGTGCAATTAGATTTCTTTAGGTCAAGAAATGGTACGGGAAAAAAGATACGCATGCTGTTCCATTATTTAGCCCCTTATCAATAAGAAGTAGTATTTTTTTTTTTCATTTACCAGGAAAAGCTAACACCTGAAATAAGTTTTTTTTTTTTTTTTTTAATTCCGTCATCAGTTCAGGTTTATACTGCTTTTCCTTTTTCTTTCACACTTTTGATCATTGAGGGCAGAGGCCTGTTTGCAGCTGTCTGTCAGAAACCAGCATTTCAGGCTTTTAAAAATGTTTATTTGCTGACAAACAAATAAAATCAACCACAACCCTGTGGATCCTTAACAGATAGTGAGACACTGCTGTGTGTGTAAAGTTCATGCTCCTTTCGGTCACTTCTCTATGATTCTCTGACTATTTCGTTTATTGGTCGCACACTGTCCACAAGAAGCCACTTAAGTATGCGTTTAAACAAATTCACGGCGTGCAACTTCGCAGAGCGCATGGGAAACTGCCCGAAGTTACGGTTTCCATGAATCTTCGCACGAGCCCAGTTACCGTCTGTCTCCAACCCCCACTGCAGCACACCTCCTCCTAATATAAAACTGCAGTGACCTCAGTGCAGCACAGTCAGAGTTGGGAAGGTGGCCAACTTGCTCACAGCAGCAACATCCTCCCCAAGCAAACTCAAACAGCCTTGGCAGCAAAAAGAAGCTACAGTCAGAGATGACACAGCTCCGTAGTCCTCCCCCCACCCCCCCATCAACCCTCAGTTCTCTCCTATGACACAACAGATATTGGAGCGACATCTGCCTGCCAGCTGAAAAGAGGCCATAATGTAAGGTAGCTGAAAAAGGCCTGGAGTGTGTGCAGTAACGCAGAGACGAGAAGGACGATCCCGGGTTTCTGGTTTTTATGACACAGAGTTGTTATTTCTGGATAATAAATGATTCATCAAACAAAGTGAACACTACTGACTGACCCTGAGGGCCGTTGTTAAGGCGTGGTTAAACATTTGCATGTAAGAGGAAGTCAGAGGAGTTGTGCATGGCCCATTAGTTTATATGTCCAGTTGCCCATGGAGATAATTTAACCATGACTAGAGAGGGGTAGGGACTGGTTAAAAGACAGCAATAATGTTAGTGTTAAGTTGTTCTGGACTTTACGGTTAGTCTATACTGCTTTTAACAACAACAACAAGATAGAAGGGGGTACTTTGAGTTTATGTGTACTGTAGTGTTTGTTGTCTATAAAAAACATTTTGCAGCTCATCAGACAAAACGACCAAAGAGGAAACACAAAGAAACTGGCTAATGGTCCAGGGGTTTTAAAAAAAGGTAGACTCCCAGAGACTTTACAGTGCTTTGCTGTCTTACAAACCGGCCGACGAGTAATAACGTTACATAACTTTCAGTCAGGGGAAACTGATGCTCAGGGAATCCATCTGTCCCAACTATGATTAAATCATGTCCTGTCCTGGAGCTGGAAATAGTTTTTGGGACAAAAATTCCACGGTCTGTGGCCCAGTTCCAACTATTTGTTAAATAAGGTAGTTATTAGTCATAGAACATAAATATATAGATAATATAGATATATAGAATATATAGATATAGATATAGATAATATAGATATATAGAATATATAGATAATATAGAACATAAATATAGAACATATTTATCTACATGCCTGTGGACTTGTCCTTCAAGTAAGGGTTCCGAATGTGAAATACACCACATGTATTATTTAATGTACTTATTCATTCAATCTGCTTGTTGTGTGTCTAGGCTTGGTTCAAAATCTGACAATTACTTGACTTCCAGTTTACATTATATTACAATGTATATTATAATGCATACATTATTTCTTTTTTGGCAGGTATAAAAATCTCCTCATTTTATAATTTTGAGCAAAAATACATTTGATGTTTATCGCATCAACATTGTCCATACTAAGGTTCAAGCGTTTAGTATGGACAACATTTGACCTTTTTGCTCTCCATAGTTTGGAGAGCTGTAGCAACCCATTTCAGAGACTTAGTTAGTGGGACTATCTGCCAAGATAGCTAGCCTTGAGCCTGCTGCTTAACAAGTATGGCAAAGACTTCTTGTAGATATAAATAATTAGTGCCTTCCTTCAACCAGCTGACCAGCGGTGTGCAGCAGCAGGTTGGGGGTGAGTGGTTAACTTATTTGACAAATTAACTCATGTTTTTTTGTTTGCTTTTTTAGCCTAGGAAAAGTCCATATTTCACCAGAAGATTTAAATATTTTTAGTCTTGACATCCAAATTTACCAATAATGTATAGATGGAATGTCTTTCTGTTTCAAGGGAAAATACACTGACCTTATGGGCTGAATAAATGGACCATTTACTCTAATCACAAAAAGGCTGCTTCACAGTTAATGCCTTCAAAAATCTGAAATTTTGATGACTTTGGATCAGAAAGCTTCAGAGTATCTTAGTACAATGCTCTAATTGTTTCGAAAGACAACTTAAAAAAATTGACAACATATTTTGCTTAGTCTACAAAGGTTTGCCGATATCTCAGTCCATCACATGCCTATTTCAACATCCTTATCCCAATTCGAATTGCAATAGAAAAACATGTCCAAATTGGGATTGTCCAGCATCCACACTTTTATTCTTATTTGAAGCAAAGCGGCTTCGAGTAAATTTATGAGCTTTAGATGTTTCACAATTTTGAAACAACTTCCCTTAAAAAAAAAAAAAAAACAAAACAAAAAAAACTCGTAATGTCACCAAGTACAGAAAATAACCAATTGCTAATGTAAACAAATATTTTACTAACCTGAGCAAAAAATGTTTGACCTTACACCATTTCAGCAGTATTAAAAAGTTAATTCTCTTCTAGATTAAATAGCTTATTTCGACATCAAAACCTCCTGAGGGTTTACCTAGTGCACCACTGGTGTGTTTGGCAATCTGTCCTGTGTGAATTAAAGTTCTCTCAGGTACCTTTGGTCAGGAGGAGCCCAAAAGTAGCTGAAAAGTTTACTTGTACCTTAGAAAAGTTTATTGTCCATTTCCAAGTGAGGCAGTATGCCAAAGCTAATCAGAAAAGACATTTTAGAAGAGATAACCTCTAAGAAACGAAAACTAAAGTTGTTTGGGTGAAGTATGTACACTATTCTGTCCACACATAGAATGAAATACTTAAGTTTCACGCAAAATCAATGAATTACAAATGCCCACAAAAGGGAAATTAAATGTGAGGAGGTTTTTTTCAGTAGATACCAACATTTTAACGGCCAGATTGGTGATGAAGGACGGAGAGGACGCCAGAGGGCTCATTGTTTGGTCCTCCATATGGGACAAACATGATCCCGATGAGACTGCCAGGCGCTGATTGACCACAGGGAACATTTGAGATTCAAATGAGATGCAGATCTCACACCGCTGGGTTTTAGTTCAACCTACGTTCCTAACTTCACGGAAAAGCTTTGCAAAGAGGGCACGAAACCAACAGTGGGCCAACAAACCAAGTCATTACAAAGCAGCACTCTCCCCAAACAAAGCAAAATTAGAAAGGTTAGTGCGCAGTCAGCTTCTAAAACATGAGCTACACATTATGGAAAGTTACCTTTCTCCTTCAGCTTCCAGGCGTACAAAAAGTTCAAGGCAGTATTCCTCTCAACTTTCCGTAAACACGAAGTAAAACTGCGAGCAGTAAGTTGTCAGAAGTCTCGTTTAGTTTCCTCAGAGGAGAAAAGACAGCGGAGTTGTGTCAGGGTTATGGTCCCCTCTGTGTGTGTGTGTGTGTGTGTGTGTGTGTGAGCGTGTATTTGCTCCAACGTCCGTTTACTCCGCATCTGCGAGGCACACAAAGCGGCCTCCTCTCCCCTCAAAGAGCACCACCCCCCCGCTAAGATTTAAAGGCACAGCGTCCTATTTAGCCACAGTACGTAACAATAGACTCAACTTCAACTTGGTGGGTGATGGGACTCCTAATTTAAATACAGGGCCCGTCTACTTATCTCAGGGAGAGAATAATACTTCTCTCCATTATATCATGTTAGCATCTTAGGAATGCCACAACACAAACACATATAACCAAATAACTACTACACGCTGTACAAAAGAGCCTGGATCTGGATGGACTAATGTTGTATGGCTCTTTGGTGTGTCATACCTTGACAATGTTTCTTCTGCAGCTTAGATATGAGAACAATAACAACTGTTAGTACAGGTTAATACACAAATCTGGTTATCAAGAATGTTTGGCAAAAATAGTCATCATTTAAAAAAAAAAAAAAATCAAGTCCCATTTGTAGTCTTCTGAAAGGAGAGACAGCAAACATATGGAAGAAGATGCTCTGCTTTTTTGCCTGAATGCTTTGTGTTACAGAAAACCACGTCACAATAAAATGTGGTGGTGGCAGTATCATGCTGTGGGGAGACGTTTCTCCAGCAGGATCAGAGAAACCAGTCAGGCATAATGGGAATGGAGCTAAAATCCCTTAAATGCAGGGCGATACCATTAAACCCTTAAAAGGTTTAAGAGTATAAATATGGTTTTAAGCACACTATGCTTCATTAGGTGCATTTATTTTTTTGTTATTGTAGCTGTATTAAAAGCTGGCTGCCACACTAATTGTGGGAGACATAATGTCATGAACTAGCCAATTATTTCTGATTGTTCACAGATTGTGTTATAGAAATGCCTATTATTGTTTTCATTTTTTATTTGTTTGTTGTTTTTACTTTAAGCAATTATGTACCATCGAGTGTGAAAAAAAAATATTAAAACCTTTTTTTAAAACGGCATGCGTTTAAGTGGTTAAAACAACCATCTGGTCGTCAGGTGTGAACCTCTAACCCGGACTTTACTGTTCGCCATCTGTCTCTCAGATTTTTCCCATATGTTAATATTATTATAGATCTTATAAATGATGAGCCAATTAGTGGGACAAAGTTTAATGAAATCTCTTGGAGAACAGTGGTGCATTTCAGCTGGAACAGAACTTTGTTTGTCCCTTTCCGTGAAGAAGTCTTTTTTTTTTTTTTTTTCCCTTATTGCTTCCTTGTGTGGTTTTTGTATCCAGTGCTTTGCTTATTTCCTGGGATTCCACAATAAAAAAAAATACACAAAGTATATTTTTTGTCTACTGGAAACCCCTCAGATGAGGTCACACTATAACTAGACAAGAAATTGCTCCATGTAACAGCTTTTGTAATTCATATCACCATTCTTAGCTGCCTCAAATCCCTGAATGACCTTTTCTTTGGTGTAAACTGCTTTCAAATTGCAGTGAAAGTGGGCGAGAGGGTTCATTCCAAAAACCTGGAGATAATGCTAGCATAATGCGCATTTATTGCATAAACAGTTTAAACTGCTGGCAAACAGTACATTAGAAAGGACAGTGGGAGGGATCTCCTTTCACACAAACTACTATCCTTTCACCGACTACCAGTATATCCACTTCAAATCCCTAACCCACCCTGAGTGAAACTGACAAATGAGGCAATTTAATTCATGGCTTCAAAGTCCTTTGAACTACACCTTCTGTCTGAATGCCTTAATATTCCAACTGTGGGCTCTCAAAGCTCATCATGGCTATTTAGTGCCCTGGACTCCCTTTTAAAGAGGGACCACCAGCTCAGTCATCCATTGCCTAAAAGGGGTAGGAACAGAGAAAAAGGAGACAAATATTTTTTTTTCTGCAAGCTGAACACCTCTTGAGTACAATTCCACAGTCAGAGAGAAATTTCCCATGTGTTTTCAAAAAAGGGGATTAGCGCTCTGGAAGCTCCCGTTCCAATTCCCTGTCCCATCCTATCCCATCTAATCTCCTCTTTTCTCATGCCTGTGTGTTTAGTGGGTTAGCCCTGGATCAAGTGACTGACTGTGATCCAATTAGCATCTAGCAGCATCTGACGCTCTGCATGTGTCTTTGATTTAGATGTACTGTACGTGTTGAGCGCTTCCGAAATGTAGAGCATCCAAGACATTCTTCATGCTTTACAGACAGACAAGAAAATTGCTCATGTTTTAAATTGTTGCATCTAACAATTTCAAATCTTTTTTTTTTTTTTTTTTTTGGCTAGAGATTGTATTGAACTAATGAGTCGTGCTTATCTAGGAGCACAGAACAACTTGAGAGGGACATTTGTAAGCAGATAACGGGATTTTGCATCATCTGCACCTGATCCGTTTTAACGGTTCCTTGAGTAACCGTCAACAGTCAGGTTGTATTTGATCAGCTAATTAACTATAGACAGATCAAATGCATTCACAGAAATTGGTCACACAAGTAGTGTGGGGCTTTGAGCACTCTCAGATTTCTACATTTTTCTTTTTGTTTTTTTAAATTGAACATTAAAGTGAATGTATCTGCAAAACTACAACAGTTAAACTTCAGGTTTTAACACCATTTGAATACAAAAAGCAACTTTTATAATTATATTTTCATAATAGTAAGTGGAAATATTGTTTAGCTTTTCGAATGCATTGTACTCCCCATTGAACTCGTTCACATTCTGATGAACCACAATTTTCAGTATACTTTATGGGAACTATTAAGCTAGAAGGAGCATTTTTACTCCAACTGGAATTCATGCTATTTCAACTACAATATGCGTGTTTGTGTGTGAGTGAAGATTTGGGTGGAGTTAATCATTTTGCACATCATGACTTTGAAATTTCTGCCTGTATTGATTTGAAACAGCCGGATTTATGCTAAGATGCAGGTACAGACAGAAATCAGGTTACGCAAGTCTAATTACAAATATACGACATTCATTTCAATAAGAAATGTTGGAAATCATCTTAAATTTTACAGCTACGCAAAGCCTTTTGTTGCTACCTCATAATATCCCAATAAACTTTGTGGCTTAACATCACAAAAGATAAAAGCGGAATAGGGTGAACACTTTTACAAGGCATTGTATTAACATGATTCTGTTTGGTGACAAGTACATTTAGCAACCTGAATCACAATGTGACGATGTCTAACAAGCAGCAAAGACGACAGACTGTTGGTGGATTTCTTGCTGCATTAGGTTTTGATTTAGCTCAGCACACTACATACGCAATTGCAATGTTTGAAATTAGATTAAATATATTCACCACAGTAACCGTGTTTACATCCGTGTTGGCAGTCGCAAAAAAAAATAAGATACATAAAAAATTGTAACTTTAGTTATATCCTCCCTTACTATTTTAACAATAGTAATGCATGATATGACTACTGCTGTCACTAAGTTTCTTTTCTTTCCTTTTTTCTTTACCATGTGGAGAAAGAAAATCACATTTTGAGGAATGTGGGCTGCTGAGGCAACAGAGTCTGCTGTAGTGTATACGTTGCAGCAAAAGTTGAAACATGAACAACTTGGAAAAATAAATGATTTTTCAGCCAGGACTGCATCATGTCATAGCATTCTAATGTGATTTGTTTGATGACCCAAAATAACTTTTTTTTTAAAGCAATTTTTGTAGCACTACCTTCAGTATTTACAGGAATTTGGCAGAGAGATGGGGAAGACATGCAGTAAAAAAATGCCAAAGTAAGGAATCAGACCCTGGATTACTGCGTTGAGAATTATTAGCACAGAAGTAAGAAAATCTATGTTCAAAAATGAACACTTATAGGGCAACTAATGTAACGTTTAGGACTCAAATTGTGAAAAAGCTTGTTATTTTTTTTTTGCTTTTTTTGTAGATCTGTGGAGCTGAAAAAGAAATGAAAAAAAAGACGGGATAACATTGAAAAATAATTTATTTCAGAAATGTACTGTGATAATATATTCATTCAGATTCTGCATGATAAGCTTTTGTTGCGTACAATGAAATCACCCCACATTAAAACTTAAAATAAAACCTAAAAGGAAAAAAGTAGATGACAGTCTCTTCTCTTTTTTTTTTTTTTTGAACTATGGTAACTAGCAACACATCACCGAGTCTTCACTATAGCGTTGTAAGTCGGCCTCGCAGGTGGCCAGACGTTGGCCCGCCCTTCTGCGGCAAAGCTCCAGGCAGGTTTAAAGCTGCAGGACGATCCGTTTATACACAGACTTACAGTGAATGATCTGTAAAGCTTGACGTACACATAGTGTAATCATTCACACACACGCCCATGCACACGCGCACACACGCACACACACGCCCTCGCGCGCGCTTTAGAGCAAAGTCACACCTGGATATTACAGAATGGCTGATTACACAAAAAAGGGAGAGAAGTGAGGCAATTCAATGACATCATCTGTTGAACAGGCTCAGTGCTGCCCAGCGATAGTGATCAGTAGCAGGAAAGAAAACAGTTTAAGCAACAAGGTGAGGAGATAAAAATATTTCTCCCCCCCTCCCCTTTTTTTTCTTTTTCCTCTTAACAAAATCACACCTAAGCACTTCCAGCAGATGTGTCCACACAGTTTCAAAACTTCAACTCGGAGGCTGAATATCAAAGCGTTTCAGTAGATTGAGACTGATGTGTTTATACGAGAGCAGGCCAAGGGGGCCAAACGTGAAAAATGGGTTGTGTATGCGGAGAAGATTCGAAGCCCCCCACCCCCTGGCCTTGCCCATCTGTTGGGAGTAAAAGGAGGCTCTCGTAGCCCACGGAGGAGGGCGCCGCGAGTGGTGTGGTCAACAACTGGTGCCAGATGTCATAAATAAGCCATCAGGACAGTTTTGTTCCACCAGGACACTCTCACAAAAAGACTTGAACCTTTTTCAGTTAAACAGACATACACTCATTTCATAGATCTGGAAGGGTCTCTCAGGCACAGCAGAGCCACCTTTGGCCCAATGTAACAAAATGCTGTTTGACTTTTCTGTGTGCGTGTGTGTGTGTGTGTGCTCTCAGACCAAAGAGTTGGTTCCACAGTA